TTAGGTCATTAGGTGGACAGTACACCAACAGAATCCACAATCTGTCCCGCTGATCCAATACAAGATGCAAGCACTATAGATTAGGAGTCAGAGGGAGCCTCGAGAGAGAGAAAATTCCTATAGACCACAGTGTACCTCTTCCCTGGCCTTCCCTGGCTGTATCAGGTAGCCAAGTGGGCAGAGCCGAGAGACAATATGCCCGCTCCCGCCCCCATTCACCCACCCATGATTACAGTGTATTAATTTTTTTGGAGATCTGTTGTTTTATTCAAAGTTTTGACAAAAGTGACATTTTAGCTCTCACATGAGCAAGCGAGCGAGCAAGAGAGACCGACCAGTGGACCAGTAACTATGTGGACCAGTGATGCTAGGCTAGAAAATTTTCTTATATACAAGTTTTTCCATTTCTTAAGTCTATTAGTAAAAATGCGTAGAATCCAACAATGTGGTTATACCTTTGCCTTATCTGTATGTCTTTCTGTTATGCAAAACAGTGAGTCATGCCAGTTCTTTTGAATGAGGAGGTCCCATGGCAGAAAAGATCTGTGCTTCTCACAAGAATCCCAGAAATGAGCAGGAATGCTAATTTCTTGACGGGCAGGTCAGACTACCTGGTCAGAATGTTAACTCCACCATTGTTCCAGAATCTAGCATTTTCATTTATTTCTGGTTGCCCTAGAAGTTCTCAATATTCTTTTGACTAGAGATGGGCCCCCTTGCAGACAGAAATTATATGAATGTGTAAAGGAAACAGTCATCAGTTGAATGTATGCTAATTGCAAATACAGTATTAAGCAAGCTTGGTAATTGAAATTCATGTTTTTTCAAGTAATTATCCCTAGAAATGTGGAGAACACATATACTGTTGAAATACACATATATATCTCTGTGTGTAGTAACTTCAGTAACGCACATGAGTGGTTGTTAGTATATCATGCTCATGATTTGGGTTGCTAATATTGATTAGAATCCTTTTCCAATCTGGTATTCTCCAATTGTGTTGGATTACATGGTCTATATATCTATATCTATTTATGGTTGTGAGCCGCCCGAGGCTTCAGCAAATGGGGCAGCATAGAAGTCCCCTAAATATATGTATGTATGTATGTATGTATGTATATTTTCTAACTGAATGATGCAGGGAGTTGTAGTCCAAGATATGTGGAGAATATCAGGAAAGGGAAGACTGAATTAGTCTGACAACAGTTTTGTATTACTGTATTGACAACAATACAAAACAGATATTCAATAATAAAAGACTTACCACACAACCATACAATAAAATCAAACATTTAAAGTACTAAAGAACCCAACAGAAATAACTACAAAATCCATCAGTCAGAAGTTCTAGCCTGAGCACCTTGAGTGAGTGTTGCGTGGGTGCCAAATGAGCATTGCCCTTTGTTGCTACCCTTCAGCCACTGCCCATGGCTACTGCCTTGAATGCCACTTGGATGCGAGAAGAAGGCCCCAGCAGAGGAGGCTCCACCCCACTGCAACCCAAAACCCACTTATTTATCACAAAGTGCCAACACTACAATAAAACCTGAAAAGTGAGGTTATAGTTTAGAAAAAACAACTCACAGCCAGTCCAAGCAAATATATGTGTGTGTGTGTATATATATATATCCTTGACAGCACACTGACTGGCCATGTGAAAGCTTGGATGAGTCATGACTAACGAGTTGTGGCTCCTGATGTCATTGTCTGGCGCCGCTACTCCTTTTTGAGCAAGCCTGTGGCCCCTATGTGAGCTGTTATCCGATGTGTGGCTGCTGGGGTGATGCTGGGGCAACTTGGCTCGCATGCTGACAGAGAGGGCTCTGCATGCCCGCTGTGGGAAGTGTACCATAGCTTTGCAACCACATGCCTAACCCTACTCTGGTGCACTCTCCTAACGCTAATAAAGGGATAAAATAACACTGAAAGGGGCAATTTTGAAAAAGCCTTCCTTGAGTAGCTTTTTCTGCACAGCTCATCATTTCTGCCCTTTCTAAAAACATCCCAACCATCAAAATCATGCCAGGATGCATCATTTTTGTAATCCTAACCCTACTCTGGTGCATACCCTTAACCCTAATACAGGGCTAAAGTTCCACTGAAAATAGGACCATTTTGATACAGCCATCCGTGAGTAGCTTTTTCTGCACAACTCATTTTTGCCCATTCTAAACACATTCCAATCATCAAAATCATGTCTGGACACCTCATTTTTGTAACCTAACCCTACCCTGGTGCACCCCCCTAACCCTAATATAGGGGTAAAGTTCCATTAAAAGGGTCAATTTTGAAAACCCCTTCCTTGAGTAGCTTTTTCTGCACAGCTCATCATTTCTGCCCATTCTAAACACATTCCAACCATCAGAAGCATTCCAGGACACCTTGTTTTCCTAACCCTAGCCCTGCCCTGGTGCTCACCCCTAACTCTAATATAGGGCTAAAGTTCCATAGAAAATAGGACCATTTTGATACAGCCGTGCTTGAGTAGCTTTTTCTGCACCGCTCATCATTTCTGCCCATTCTAAAAACATTCCAACCATCAACATCATACCAGGACACCTCGCTTTTCTAACCATAACCCAGTGATGGTGAACCCTTTAGAGACCAAGTGTCCAAACTGCAACCCAAAACCCACTTATTTATCGCAAAGTGCCAGCACTGCAATAAAACCTGAAAACTGAGGTTTTAGTTTAGAAAAAACAACTCACAGCCAGTTGAAGTAAATACATATATATATATATATATATATCTCCTTAGCAGTGCACTGACCGACCATGCGAAAGCTCAGGTGAGTTGTGGCTAATGAGTCACGGCTTGTGACATCATTGCCTGGTGCCACTACTCCTTTTCTTAACATGCGCATGGCCCCAATGTGTGCTGTTATCAAATGTTTGGCTGCTGGAGCAATGCTGAGGCGACTTGACTCGGGCCAAAAAGAGGGCTCTGCGTGCCTGCTGTGGCATGTGTGCTATAGGTTCGCCATCGCTGCTGTAGACACTACTCTTCCTGCTGTGCACCATTTACAATGACACAAATAAGAAAGCGATGGTTGGCTGGAGGGGGGAGGGAGAAGTGATGGAGGGGGGTCCACTCTGCTCCGCTGTGTGTTGGTTGGTGGTGGCAAATGAGCTGGGTGTGGCGGCTCAGGCTACTTATATTTACTGCTATATTTACTTATATTTAGTAAGCATGCAAAATTAGATAACTCTTTAGTAATTTTCTGGTGGAAGTTATCTAATTTTTACAATTTGAATTAACCTAATTTGCGTGGTAGGGATGCAGGTGGCGCAGTGGTTTAAACTGCTGTGCTGGTTGATCGAAAGATCGCTGGTTCGAATCTGCCCAACAGGGTGAGTTCCCATTGCTCCGTCCCAGCTCCTGCCAACCTTGCAGTTCGAAAGCATACTTGCATTTGCAGATAAAAAGGTACCACTTTGGTGGGAAGGTAACAGCATTCCGTACACTTTGGTGTTTAGTCATGCCGGCCACATGACCATGGAGACTGTCTGCAGACAAACGCTGGCTCCCTCTGCTAGGAAATGGAGATGAGCACTGCCCCCTAGAGTCAGACATGACTGGACTTAACGTCAAGAGGAAACCTTTACCTTTACCTTTAATTTGCATGGTAAAAATATCCATGCAAATTTCATATGGACAATTTGTATCACTGGTTTTGACCATAGGAACATTTTCAGAATCCATGTTGCTTAACTTCATGGTTTGTTGTTGCGTTACAATTCTTGGTTGTCTTACCCCAAGCAACCCATAATGTTGGGTTTTTTCATCACAACAACAACCCAAAACCATAGCTTGTTATCTAAAAGCATCAGTTACAGTGCAACCTGATGCATGCTTACTGTGAAAAAAGTCTCAATGGGTTCAGTAAGGTTTCCTGCAAAGTGTGCATAGAATTGTAACCTATTTTCTTAGTTTGACCACAGTCTTTATTTCTTCTTTCAGTAGACCAGTTCTGAACTAAGGATATATTCTATGTGAACTATGTTTTTCAAGCGGGGGTGGGTGTTAGTCAAAAGCCCTTGATTTTTTGTGTGTGTAACACTCCTTCTGATAGCAAAATAAAGTTTTCCAAAGGTTGACCATTCTTAGTATAAGGAATAGAGTTGATACAGTCTCTGTCAGGGTTCTGGATGGACATTTTACATTAAGCTGGTTGCATTGCTGTATTTATTAATATTAATATTACTGGTGATCCTTAAGAGAAGATAACTGTTAATTGTTTGAATTTCCTACAGCCATAGCCAAATAATGAGGCCATCAGTATACTCTGTTCTCGGCTTGAGGTGAACAAATAATGTTAGAAAGGGAAATGAAGACATGATTAACTTGTTTTTAGTTTGCCTCTGGACAGAATTTTAGATCTTTTCTCATAGGATAGCCTGCTTTGGTGTTAAGGGTAGGCATAGATTACTAGTGTATCATTTTCATATATTCTGTCAACAGTTGTTAGATGCTGTTATCTGAAGTAGAAGCTAAATGGGTGGTTAAAACTTGATGGGAAAATTGTTAGCTTCTTTTAAATGCATTGGAAGTCCTTCCTTTGCTTCACTCAATTTTAGAAGCAATATTTTCTGTAGATAATCATTCTAGATTATTCTTGCTTTCAGTGTTTAAAAAGATTATTTTGATCTTCATCATCTGCTTTAGTGTCAGATCCATGAGGGTGGGTAGAATGTAGATGTGCAGATGTTTAAAACATTCGCTACCAGAAGCCCTTGTTTGCTTGATTAAAGATCAGGAATGAGGGAGCTGAAGCCCAAAACATCTGAGGAACTGCTTCCTACTTACCCTGACCTACTGTGTATGTAAATAGTAGCAATATTGTAGCATTAAATACTGTAAATGTGTGGTAAAAATGTTAAGATGCTTATCTTGCTACCAGAACAAGGAAATCACAATAGTAGAGATCCTCATCTAGTAGTCTGTTAGCATAATTTCTACTTAATGCTTTTTCTCATTGTTTTGTTTACCTTTCTTTGAAGGTTTCCGAATGAGTGGATCATGAGGAACATACTTTAGGGACTTGCCATAGTATGGCTGCTTCTCGATCTACTCGTGTCACAAGATCAACAGTGGGGTTAAATGGTTTGGATGAAAATTTTTGTGGCCGAACTTTAAGAAACCGTAGCATTGCTCATCCAGAGGAAGTTTCTTCTCTTCCACAAGTAAGATCAAGATCACCAAAGAAGAAACCAGAATCTGTGCAGACTCAGAAGGGAAATAACAGTGGACGAACCAATGACGGGAAACAGCAAAATTCTAGGGAATCATGGGTAAGCCCTAGAAAGAGAGGACTTTCAACTTCAGAAAAGGAAAGTATTGAAAAACAAATTGTGGAGAATTTTGACAAGAAACAAGTGGAAACTGTTTCACCAGTTTTAAAAAGAATTAAACGCTGCTTACGTTCAGAGGTGCAGAATAGTTCAGAAGAAGTGCTGCCCTCTAAAACAGGAAAGGAACGATTGGAACGCAAGAGCTCCGGATCAGACAATGTTGCAGTCACTCCAGGGACTAAACGAGCTTGTCGATGTCTTATATTGGATTATAGTGATAAAAGGGAAGTTAAAAAGGTGAATGCTTGCACAGAAAGATTTAATAGTTCTTCAGTATCCGAAGAACTTTTAGGTTGTCAGACTATCAATGGAGTTGATGGGAGAGGCTCAGATGATACGAAGTGTGATGACTGTCACCCTGATGGGAATGCTACTCAGAACAATACTGATTCCTGCTCAGCCAAGGAAAAAGCTGTAGCAGAAAATGGAAATACATTGGCCCGTTCATCATTTTTTCTCAACCGAAGTAAAGAGGACAATTTTGTAGACCACAGTGTGCCTTGCACAAATTCACAAGAGCAGTTAACATTAGAGGACCATAAGCAATTAAATAATTGTTTGCCTGAGGGAATTACTGATCAGGCACATGAGTCAGGTACGGGTACAGGGTCCTTTTCTGAAATCCAGTCATCTGTATTAAGGGATTCTGAGGAGGAAGTTGATGTAGTGGGAGACAGCAGTGCCTCAAAGGAGCAGTCTGAAAATACCAACAGCAATGCTGGCAATTGTCATGACAGTGCATCAGTCTCAGGTGAACCTGAACAACCAAACTCTGTTTTGGACTGCGTTTCATCCCAAATTACATCGGCAACAGAATCTCAAGAACACAGATACACACTGAGAACCTCACCATGGAGGGTGGGCCCAGCAAAAGGTAGCCCTACTAAGCATAACTCTCCATGTAGAGGGAATGGACAGCTTGAAGAGAACAATCATAGTGCCCCTGAAAAGGATGTAGAATCAAGTATTGCTAATATCAATGGATCTCCTATGAACACAGAAATTATTTTGAAAGACAAAGGTTGTGACTCTGAGGACTGTATAAATGGACAAAATAAACCACCCTCAGAGGCTAAACTTGTTACTGGATCCCTACCATCTGCCAAAGAGAGTGCCAATCTTCATGCTGTAGAGGATGAGGAGGAAGAACCCGATGTGTATTTCTTTGAGTCAGATCATGTGGCATTGAAACACAACAAAGAGTATGTGTAACTATGGTAACCATGGCTTCTGCTTTTTGGGTTGTTGTTATATTCAACTCCATGGTTTTTAAAAATCCTATATTTGCCTTAGAATACTCCTAGCTGAATGTTGCTTTACTTGAGAAGATGCTTTAGTTTTATCTCAGAAAAGTAAAACTTTAGTTTCCTGTCATTAAGGAGCTTGACTTAAGGTTATAATTTTGAATAATGGCTGGAGTTTGAAATTGTCTCCAAAAGAGATACTAGGTGGGGGTGGTTGTTTTTGAAACGGATTCAGTACTTGAATTTTAGCAGTTCTGATTTTCTATAGCCCTTTAATGGAAACTTTTCAGTTAATTATTATATCAAATAAAATGTTTTCTATTAAATAGAGATACTAGTGTACATAGCGGAGTGTACAAACTGTCAATTAGTTTTTATGGCAGTTAGGTAGTATTACAAAATAGATTATCTGTATGCATTTCAAATTAACCTGTTTTACATTGCTAATTATCATGTAGAGTTTTCCAAACTTATTCTAAAGCTTTCATCTGTAACTAGTTTAGTAATTTCGCTTCAATATAACAATCATCAGTTAGGTTTAATGTATATTAATCATGCAAATATGCTTGTCATTTTGACAGGTTAAAGCAGGAAAGCTTTGAACTGCAGGTTAACCTTCAGCATACATAGATAATGGTTTCCCATAAGACTGCCTAGCTGTCAAGGATCTTGCAGTGTATTCTCCTTACCCCATGTGACCCCACTCCCAATTTTGTCCTTTACTATGCATACAGCAGGCTGATGTTGCAGCAGTGAAGCCTGACAGGTCCTGTGCTTTAAATAACAGGAGATATATAAGCCTGCTATAACTCCTATAAACAGTCCTGCCTGGACCAGGAGAAAAGACAGTTTAGTTTCTGGGCTGAGCAGAAGTTGTATCATTCTCCAGTAGTTGGGTTATGATAGAAGAGCAAGAGAGGAATACCCACTCTTCCTTTGGAAGTCGTATTGCGATATGTTCAGGGGTGGGAGTAGGCTGTAGGACCATGGCAGACTTTGAGAATTGGCTATGACTCTGTGCTTGTCCCTTCCCAAACAAACAGTGGGTCACCTTTTGCACACAGTGAAGAAATTATTAAATATATTTGTGCCCTTAGTACAATTTGACAGCTAGAATCCTTGAGTATGCAACACATTTTTCTTTCAATGAGACTGTAACTTTATAATTCACACATTCTTTCTATTTGTTCTTGGCAGTATGCATTTTGTTCCTATGCCTGCTTTCTGTGTATTAAATACCTACAGTATTAAGAGGTTGTAAAAGTCTACTTTTCTTATTAATAGGGACCAAAGATAATTTGCTGGCTGTAAACTTTTACAGCAGGTATGGTTTTGCAAACACAGTCGAATTCCATTGGGCACTGTGAAGCAAAAGTTGCAAATTGTCTTTAAATTCACACAACTTTGTCAGTGGTATTTATTTTGGAGCCAGATCACTTGCCCTGGAAAATTTTCATCTCTAGTTTTATATGTGCCTTGAATTGTATTAGAATGGTTTTTATCTTCTTAATATATTTGTGAAAATCATCATTATACAGTAACAGTAATTATTGCATTCATTTTTCAGACACATTTCCAGGTTGATTTCGTTTTTACATTGCATTTTCTGTAGGTACATATTTTCCCAGTATGTGATTTTTTTCATTTTCCCTATACAGAATGTGTATGTTGAGTTTCAAAATGTTAGGTATCTTAACAGTTTTTAACAAATATATGCCTTTGTTCTATAGTTAGACTTACTTTATTAGTTTTGAAAAAGTTGAATGTTGGTTCTAAGCCAAAACATTTGATCAACTCCTTTGGACAGGGCTGGTACTTGCATATCTGATTATTATGATGTCATCAAGGGAATTGAATGTTTTTCCAACACACTTTTAAAAAGATGGGTGTGGAAAAGTGGCAGTTATTTTTTCCATTAGAGTACCTCATATCTGCAAGAAAGCAACATCTCCTGCTCTGCAGAAAGCTGTGAAATCCAACAGGAGCTTTTTTCCTCTTTTTGTAAAGTTAAATTCCAAACATCTTTTAGGTTCAGGTCCTTTGGAAAAATATACCCACCTAGAAACAATGCTGTTTGCAAAACCAACATTTTGGGTAAACAAAGGCTAAATAGAAGAATTATTGGTAGTATTGCGTTCGGGTTAATTTCAAAATGGCAGTTAAGCTTTTTAAAAAAAACTTTCACTGGCATCTAATTGCTTAAGGGAAGAGCAGTTGTAAGCAGGAGCAGGAGCATGAATGGCCTGGAGATAGATGACCCATCTCTTGTAAACACTGAAAGTCTTTAAGACCAACAGATATCAAAAACATGCTACTTTAATCATTGGCCCAGTTCAAAATACCAGCTCTTACGCTGAGATATGAATGAGGCTTTTACCTGCACATAAGGCCCTTTTTCTTTCTCCATGGCACATAGATGTTCAAAAAAGTATAACTTCACATTTTGTATGGAGTAGGAAACCACAGTTTCCTGCTTTACTACAGGTTACTACTACTATAGTTTGAAGTTGGTTTGAGATACTGGATTGTTTAAAAAAAAACCCAAACCAAACCCCAAGACACTGTGGTTATTTATAGACTTTTGCATTGCACTGATGTGCACTGAAGAGGAAGGTATCTGTGTGCATGGGCACAAGTTTTGTTTATCTCTGCTTATCAAACCAAGATTTGATAAACCAAATATGCCTACTAACAAAAAAATCCTTAAAGGAATCTAACTGTATTAAGAAAGAACTGCTAGAGCTTTCAGTCATCTATTTTTAATAAGGATGTATTTGAGCCCATTCAGATGCTACTTTACTGAGCGTAGTCTATATGGCAATAGTGCAGGTAAGTCTTGGGCTCATGAGAACATTGAATGTAATGCTTGAGAATTGTATTGTGCAATATATGTTTGCATCTGGGATTTGCAATTTTTACCTTATGCAGTGTGGTTTGAATATTGTGATTTACATGCAGTAATAAGCAGTGGGGAAGTCATATGTGTGTCTAAGACTTGTTGCCATTTTAAAATGTGGCTATACACTTGGTTAGTTGGTGTTTGCATGAGATCAAATCTGATCATTTAGTTGCACACCACAGAGTATACAACTAAAAGCTGTTCAGCTTATTTTTTTCAATATTACTGTCATACTAATTTTAATATCCTATCATCAGTCCTTCTCTCTTTAGAGCTAATCATGGTTGAAATTAATATGGTGGGACAGTAATACCTAGCAGGAACCTTAGTTATCTCTAAAAAGGGAAGGAAAGAGGAATTGCAGGTGTGGCAGAAGATGGGAGAGGCAAAAAAACAAAGCTCCCAACCTTTGGGGAACTGGCAGGCTGATAGCAATGATTAGTGGATCAGGAACATTATGGCTGCACTGTTAGCACTGTTTTTTCAACCTCCTTAAGATGCGCCTCAAATTAGCTTGTTTTGAGCCCTTGTAGAAAGTTTTTTTTTCTGTTGCATTGTTCTCTAGTCTAGTCTAGTCTTTAAAATTAGTTACATAAATCAATTTACTGTATACATATTCAATATAGTATTCCACACCAGCATACAGATTCATATCTTCAAACAACAATAAATACTGAAGAGGTTTAGTTGGAAAATGGACCTTGCCTTTTCTTCTTCACCTTTGTTGTAGCAGAACACATTCTGAATCAGTTATATTATTCAGCTGCTACTAGCCCTGATCTGTTGCTGTCCTTTTGTTATTGCCATTCTCTGGATGACACAGAAATTAAAATATTAGAGAATGTATTTGGAGGAGAAAACTAATGACAAAGATTTCAGAAATAGCTTTCTGACACAGGTGTATACGTTTCTGTGAGGAAGTATCATAAAAAGTACAATTTAATTGAGAACTCTTGATTCACTTTATATACTGTCTTGAGGATCAGCATGATGGAGTCTGTTGTTGTTAGTCGCGAAGTCGTGCCCGACCCATCACAACCCCATGGACAACATTCCTCCAGGTCCTCCTGTCCTCCACCATCTCCCGGAGTCCACCTAAGCTCACACCAACTGCTTCAGTAACTCCACCTAGCCACCTCATTCTCTGCCATTCCCTTCTTCTTTTGCCATCTATTGTTCCCAGCATTAGGCTCTTCTCCAGGGAGTCCTTCCTTCTCATTAGGTGGCCAAAGTATTTGAGTTTCATCTTCAGTATCTGGCCTTCTAAAGAACAATCAGGGTTGATCTCCTCTAGGACTGACCGGTTTGATTGCCTTGCAGTCCAAGGGACTCGCAGGAGTCTTCTCCAGCACCTCAGTCCTTTTTTGCTCAGCCTTCCTTATGGACCAGCTTTCACAGCCATACATTGCAACTGGGAAAACCATAGCCTTGATTATACACACTTTTGTCAGCAGGGTGATGTGTCTGCTTTTTAGTATACTGTCTAGATTTGCCATACCTTTCCTCCCCAGGAGCAAGCGTCTTTTAATTTCTTGGCTGCAGTCCCTGTCTGCGGTGATCTTGAAGCCTAGGAAAATAAAATCAGTCACTACCTCCATTTCTTCCCCATCTATTTGCCAGGAAGTGAGAGGACTGGATGCCATGATCTTAATTTTCTTAATGTTGAGTTTCAAGCCAACTTTTGCACTCTCCTCCTTCACCTGCATCAAGAGGCTCTTTAGTTCCTCTTCACTTTCTGCCATTAGAGTGGTATCATCTGCATATCTGAGGTTGTTGATATTTCTCCCAGCAATCTTAATTCCAACTGGTGATTCATCTAGCCCCACCTTTCTCATCATGTGGTTCCATGTCTAGTTCTCACTGTTGCTTCTTGACCTGCATATAGGTTTCTCAAGAGACAAATAAGATGATCTGCTACTCCCATCTCTTTAAGAACTTGCCACAATTTGTTGTGATCCACACAATCAAAGGCTTTAGCATAGTCAATGAAGCAGAAGTAGATGTCTTTCTGGAACTCCCTAGCTTTCTCCATGATCCAGTGTAGGTTGGCAATTTGATC